CCGGGAGCGGGGGAAGGAGTCTCGCATCTGCCCCACCACCCGCTCCCCCGGAGCGCAGCAAGGAGGAGGCCGGAGCATCAGAGAACGACGCTCAATAGAAACAACTTTGGGGAGCTGGAAGGAAGGGTCTGAGGGTTGGTTTAGACTGGGTCTAAGAAAGAAAGTTTTTACAGCGAGGGTGGTGAAAAGCGGACACAGGGTGCCCAGAGCGGTGGTGGAGGCCACATCCCTGGATAGATTCAAGGTCAGGCGTGATGGGGCTCTGAGCAACCTCATCTAGTTAAAGGTGTCCCTGCTCACTGCAGGCGTTCAGACCAGATGACCTCCAAAGGTCTCTTCGAAGCCAACACGTTCTGTGAAACTCCCCAGCGGCTGCTCGCCCGGCACACGGAGCCGCCACGGGCTGCGCTGCCGGGGGCCAGCAATGGGACGCATCTCTGAGTGTAAAAACATAATCCTCAACTGCCTGGGCAACAGTGGGACGTTTCCTTCTTCCCTCAGCTCATCTCATGTGAAAATAGCCAAACACAAATAGTTTAAAAGCTCCCAGTAGCAGGAATTCGAGCGTATGAGCACACAGGCACCCGCCATGAATTTGGTTTAGACAAGATGTGACCCACACTGGTGTCAAGTGGGAAGGCTCGCATCCTCTCCCTGGCAAAATTTCAAATCGTCTCAAAAAGTGACTCGAAATCAAGTATTAAATGGGGACATCTAGAGGAAATACCTGACAGTGCAACCACGCTTCGTAATACCTGTTTCTAACACTGCACTTGGCGGTAAAGAGTTATTCGTGCAAATCTCTGTGTAACCAACACCACTCACACCCAAGTGTGGATTTTGGATATCTGGGCATGTATTTGGGGTATCTGTCCTATTAGGTGCTGTAAAGATACAGGATCCGAGATCAATCCTGTACCAAAGGGCTTGCAGTGTAGATAGATGCCCCATAGACTTTCTGAGGATAGGATGGTCAGTTCAGGACTCAGAGAAGTGACTTCTCTGCTAGCATAAATTTTGGAAATTCAAGGTACTCCCTCAAAAGTCTCTGAGCAATTCTGATTCAGCACAGCATTATAAGGGCTGTGGCATTTTTTGTCCAGCACTTAACAGCCTATAAGCAGATTTGCCATCTCATGTCTCCACAGCCAAAGGGAATCAGCCATCTGAATTCTTTCTACTCATTTCTTGCAGAAAACTCACAGGTGTCAAACTCAGCAACCAGGTTGATTACCTACCTGTGGATTACTTCTTCTTACTGTTTCTCATATAATACATAAGAGCTCTTGAGCATTGTAAGAACAATTTCTGTAATTTGATTTTAGTATCTATATCCTTTTACATTGAAAAGGAGGGGAGCCTTTACCTCCACATCTGAGAGGAATTCTTAAAAATGTGAAAAAGCGTTGAAGTCATGGGATGGAGGCTGAATCTTGTTTTAGGGCAGAATTTTCGATTTGTGAGAGGTAATTGCCATGGCACTGACTCTGTTTCAGTGATCTTCCATAGCCAAACAAGATGCAGCTGAAATCTGGCTGTTTTCTGCAGCATCTGAGCTTAGATCAAGTTAACTGCTAGATGTCAGTAAGAAATACTCTGGCACTGGCAGAGTATTTCCAGGTCTTGACTGTTCATCGAAAGAATTACCTGAACAGTAAGTCCTTCTAAAAATTAGACTGGCATTAATGCTCTGAAATTACAGGCCCTGTGCAATGTTTGGAAAAGAGATACACAGATTGCTACATCGCTTAGGATTTAAAACCAGAGATCACAGACATTACAAATATTGCACTTCAGATGTAACAACAAATGCAGGTCTCTGTAATACTAATTAACTAGCAGCTTGGTTAATAGAAGTGCTTGGCAGTACCCCAGAAAGCTTTCAGATGCAGCATGTATCGCCATGTCCTCCCTGCTCTGTCATGCTCCAGCTGCTCTGGAAGGTTACACGGCCTGACTGCTCCTGCCTCAGCTTCTGAAATATGTATGGCTCAGGGGACCATGCAGAGCCACCGAGATGCATTTTCAGCTCTGAAGATATGCCCTCCCCCTTCCATTGCCTCCCTCCCTCTTAGTGAGACAGAAGCAGGTCCAAGACCCTATGAAACCTGTTTGATTTTATGGTATTATTGTCCTCTGCCCCCCAGCAGCATGTGAAACCCCCAGGTCAGGCTTGCTTGTACTGTATGAACAGGATAACCAGGCACAACAAGCAGATAATCAACACAGGAAAAACCCAGGCCAGCCATAAAAGACATCTTTACAGCTGTGCAAGCGCCGTGCCAGGAACACAGCGCAAGAGGTGATCTCTGGCTCACTGAAGCTAATTCCTCAGTACTGCAGGAACCTCCTCATGTAATCCTTTCCATAAACCGATCGTGCTCCACACTAGAAAGCAGGCGGGTTCCTTGCCAATAGTGTCCTCCACATGAGGCTCTTTGCAACCCCAAGGCCTCCATCCACTGGTTCACAGCTTCCCCACCTCCTGCCTGCAGTTCTTTAGTTTCCATGCTTCTGGTTTGTTGGGTAAGTCTTTTTTTTTCTCCAGGGATAGGGTGGAGAAGAAGAAAGACATAAAATTATGAATACTTTGACACTGCCTTCTGTGCAGAAGTCACATATGCCTCTTTCATAAATCAAGCCATCTTATTAACAATGTTCTATTAATTGTGAACAGTATCTCTCATCTGCTACTGAGTTTTAATTGTCTGTGCAACCTGTCTGGGAGCAGTGGGCATTTAAAATAAAATAAATCCTGCTAATTACTGCTCACAGCTTTGTGCAGACAATGCCTGAGAGCTTACTCTTGTCCAGATCTGTAGTTTTATTGCTTTCTCTGTTATGTGGCTAACCTGAACAAGGACCAGATCATGCTGTTGTGGTCCGAAATGCAGTGGGGAGGCTTTGCTTTAATGAGTGCTACAGGGTAGGAATGATCTAAACACTCCTCCCAGCTCAGGCTGTCCATCCTAGCTCTCCGAAAGACTATGGCTACCTGCGGGGAAGAGAGCAGAGCATCTGTTCTCACCCATCGGTTCTAGCTACAGCACACCCTGATGCTCTTCTTCGGCCTCCCCAGCATCACCTACAGCCCAGGCTGGGGAGAGACTGGTGCCTTTTCAAGGACAAACAGCGAGGACAGCAGGCTGTGGTGGAGGAGTGGTAAAGTCAGGTTACTCTCAGAGCTCAGCCTTGATGCTGGACATGTCCCACAGCTCCGCTCTGGACCAGACTCCCGGCTGAGGGCCAGCGCTCAGGGCTGCTGCCCATGGGACTCGGGGAGGAAGGAGAGGAGCCAACTGCGGGATGTAGTGCCGTGAGTCCTTCAGCACATGGCAGGGATGGGAAAGGCCCTCACAAAGCAGCCTTGGAGCTTGGCCAGGTGTCGAAGCTCTCCTCGGCACAGCCCAAACCCAGCCGGCAGCAGCCGCGTGCTCCCACGTGGCTCCAAGGCAGGAAGCACCAGGGTTTTGGTATTTCCTGCGGGCACGATGAGCAGGATGTCACCTTTATTCTCTGGATGCAAGCACCGCTTGGTATTCTATGTATTCTTTCCAAGCAGGAAATCAGGGCTTATTGTCTGTTTCTAAACCTTTCTGCCCTGAAACAGGACCATCTTGAAAAGCAGATCGTTCATGCAGGACCTGCCTTTCATCTGCTGGATGTAGACAGGGATAATATGATTGAATTTAAATAGTTTGAAGCCACAAGGTTTCTTTCCAACATCCAGAAAGAACTTAAGAAGATATTCAAGGACTTGGATATTTCTGAAGATGAGGTAAAATTAGAGAAATCACAGTCAAAAGATAGGCCATGAAAATGCCCCTAAATTCAAAATTAAGCACTGCAGCCTCTCCTCATTCAAGTCTGAGTTTTCTTCCTGTCGACTTCAGGAGCAGGTCTTTAGTGACTTACTGCAGAGTTTGAATTGAAAATATTTTAACAGTAAGATAGCAATAGCAAGAATTATTTTTTAGGGAGTAAACCAGCCATATTCCTCTGTCTGAGGAGGCTCTAATGGGAGGAGGTGGGCAGGACTAGCAGAAGGGCCTTTATTTAAGTAATTTTCTTCCAAGTTTACTTGTGGCCTCTCATTATTTTCCAAGCTCTCTGCAGCCCATTCTCAGAGCCGCTGGCAAGATGGGTACCTCGGTGGGATACACTTGGACTTGAAGCTTCTAGAAACATTACAGGTGCCAGACCTTGGCCTATGCCTGTGCCAGGAGATGCTGATGCCAGATAAGAGCCTCAAGGGAAGCTCTCTTCTCAGATGGATCCCTCATTTGACCTTAAACCAACTCCAGGTCCCAAGGAGAGGCCGTAGGGATCTCGCCCATCCCTGCCCCATGGTGTGGAGCAACCATAAATGGAATAAAGCTCCACGTTGACCTAGTCCTCATTATGGAGGTGCGATCACACATCCCTTGCGGATTTGCTTTTGCCACCAGCTCACCTTTGTCCCTGCCCGGTCACAGGTGCTCTTTCAAATCCCTTGCTGCTCTGAAGTACTCTCTAATGACCACCTGCAGCTACACTGGTAGGGAGTCAGTCATTAATAGACTGTAGACATCTCTTATTTCTGTCACAGCTTCATCCCATCCTCATGACTTCAGCATCTCAGCACACTGCAGGGCAGATTTAGCAAGACATCCATTAGTAGCCGAGGGAGATCTCTTCTTTTTCTCCTCCTTTCTGCTGGTAGATTCCCGGGTTATCATTTTCAGTGGTAACACTCATCTGTGCTCCCTCACCAGTATCCTCCTCAATTATTTGTTACAGGCAGTTGTTGCATGTCTCTTGTAAGAGCCTCTTTGCTGTGTGGTCTAGCAGTGCAGTGAGGTATCAAAGCCTCTGTCCTGCTTCTGTAGAGTTCTCTAATGCCCTCGGAGTAGTTCCCCAGAATAAGCTGTTTCAGGCCCAAGTTGCATTGATCCTGTCCTTTCATCTTGAGGCCGCCTGATTAAAAGGCTGCCTCGAGCAGGAGCAGCATGGCTGTGACAGTGCCATAAAGAGACCCCACTCCCACCCTTCCCCCCGGCCACAGCGTAACCCTGGCTGTTGTGAATTACTCCAACATCTGCAACTCATTGCAAACGGTAGAGAAAGAGCCAAGTGCCAGGGAGGTGCCCTGTGAGCCTGTAACACGTTGCGGGGAGCCGGAGGCGACCAGCTGAAACCAATTTCTCTTGAGTCAGTTGGGGAAATTGGAGCAAGTTGGAGAAGGGGACGAGCGCCTGGACTCAGGGTCTTTCTTTGAAATAACTTAATGTTGGGCAAGGCTGCCTGGAGAAGCTGGGGTTCTAGCTCCTCTCCAGAATCAGCAACTAAACTGCAGGGAATTCAGGATGTTCACAGTCTTCTGCACTGACAAACAACAACAAAACAGGAAGGGGATCTGACAGCCTCCCAGCAAGGCCAGTGAGTTCCTAACAGACTAACAAGAACCCTTTGCCTGTCTTCTCTCTCCCCCAGGCTCAGCTTACAACCACCAGATAGACACACCAAACTTCTAGAAGTTGAATAAATCAAAGCAGTTTCCTGATTTCTCCATTGCACGTTGCCATTGTTCCACCAGGGTGAGAACGAGAGACTGGTGCCTGAAGAGGAGGAAGGGCTGAGGCCACTTGGCTTTCAGCTGCCGTTTTGTCCCGTTCAGGTGCATGCAAAGCAGGGCTGGTCTGAAACGGGGCAGACTGCTCTCTGAGGCTGAAGCCACTCACGCTGGCCACTTCTGCTCCGCATTCCCTGCCTGCGTGCTCCGGGCTGGGGCAGCTCCCTGCATCTGTGCTGCTGTGAGGAACAGCCCGACGACAGGAAACGCTGTTTGCTTTGCTAACGAAACTGCCTAATTAAGTCCATGTGGAGGGAAAGCAAGAGAGGCAGTTTAGTTTCTCTTGCTAAATATTGACTGTTTACCCTTTGGGCAGAGCAATCCAGTGAAGTTATTTCCCCCCTCACCTTACACACAGGGCATCACACCATTAAGCCTCCTCCAAACTTGCTGCCATCAAAGAACTTCCCTAAAGAAGCATCCTGGCTGCAGCATAAGGGACTAATTAGAATAGAAAATGCCAATCTCCAGGCACTGCCACTGACCTCCCATGGAACGAGATTTTGACACGCCTGTAAGGCAGCATCTCACCTCAGACCTTTGCAACCACTGCGAGATCAGAGAAAATAAACCATGTGGCTAAAACCCCAAACTTCCCAGGATCGTTCAGAGAAAGAGAGAACACAGCAAACCACTCTGCAGAGCCCAGAGCTCAGTGCCTTTTGTGTAAGTCACCCGACTATTTCTAGCTCAGATGCAGAGGGACTGACCACCCTGAGCTTCCAGTCCAGAGCAGCTCTGGAGCTCTGCAGATGACCCAGAGGTCCACAGTTAAGGTTCATTTCCCTTAGTGCTGTCTCTGGAGCCCAGGACCAGGTGTTAACACAGCACCAGCCCTCAGGACCGAGTGGGACGGGTGTGTTTGCCAAACTGGGACACAGGTTTAGGCAGCAGAACGCAACAAGAGCTTGGCACGGGGTGAGGAGTGAGGGTGCAACACCCACCATGGGCCAGAAACCCATGGACAGAGCACATTACACAAGGTTCTATAGCAAGATACAGGCCAGCGAAATATGGATATAGGCACAATACAAACATTAATTATGTGTTAATTAGGAATAGAAACACTGTGATCTATATTACATAGCTCTATAAATCATGCATAGCCTTCTCCCCCGAGCTCGTAGGCTGCAGGGTGTGAAGCAGCACTTGACTTCACTGCTTGCAGTGACTGGGAAAAATTTCAACTCTTGTGCACTTTTGGCCTAAATTCATGTCCTTTTGGGGTTTTGCTTCAGTCAACAGACATCCTGGAATCCCCCAGCCCACTTCATACACCAGAACGTGCTCCAGCTGGACAAGCTGGACGCCAGGGGCAGGTCGGTGAGGTGTAGGCACGCAGGCACCCAGGGACAAGCCGAGCTGGACACCCTTCTGCGGGACACGTGACCACACTGTGCACCTGAGAGACACAGAAAGAAAGATCATGTGTCGTTTTGTAACGCTGGTGTTTGAGGAGATCAGCTCTGAGAACTTCTCTGTGTGCTGGGGGACGTGGAAACAGAATTGTCTCTCAGGTGAGAACAAATGGCTAAAACAAGCTTTTCAACTTATTTTACATATATGTATTAAAAAGGGGATATGTATTAAAAAATTATATATACACAAACACATAAAAGGAATTTTAAAAAAAAATATAAACATACATATGTATAAAAGGCAAAGTTCCAGAAAAATCCCATGCTTGCTTGTTTATAACTCACACCACAGATTCTACCATGGAATTATCCTAAGATACAAAAAAAAAAAAAACCAAAAAAAAGAAATGTTTAGCTGTGATACTATTAGACCAAAGCGGCCTCACAAAAAATTATTTCTACTCCTCTGATACCTTAGGTAGTTAATCAAGACTATCCAAGTGGTGACCTGAATTAAGACAACACGTCAGTTAATGTAATTACAGGACAATTACACAGATCCATTGCTTTGAGCCAGCAGCACATCTGGGGGCAGCAGGAGCTGGCTCAGAGGAGGCTCTTGCTGGATGCCCGAGCACAGCTCCAGCCCCACATTCTCCACGGACTGCACACCTTATTTGCAGATAAAATGTCATCACACACCTAAATTTTTACCAAAATGTGTCTCTAGGCTATCGAGTAATCAAAAGAAAAAAAAAAAAGTTGTAGAGCTCCAGCTCAGAATTAAAAGCCCTACTGAAGAATTTTAAAAAGCAAAACAACACTGAGTTTGTTTCTTAAGGAATGGCATTTCCAGGATTACTTTTACTTTTTCAAAAAAAGGAATGCTTTACATACAGGAAAATTTCTACAGCATTTCTGATAGAAGTTCATGATGGTTTGCTCTCAACGGTAAAAGATCTTCCCTAGGTTAAAAAAAATTTAAAACAGCACATCATTTAAAATTTTAAAAAAGCACATGCTTGTGCTTTGCAGTTGATTAAAAATACATAACTCAATTTAAAAGTTACCTGATGTTCACAGCATCTTTATACTGGCCTAGAATTCTTCACTGACTGAAGGAGCGGGGGAGGGGAAAAAGGTTAAATATTTGATTCTGAAAGGTTTTGTAAAAGCTATGGGGGAAAAAATGGCCATGACACTGAAATGCCCTCGCCCTTGTTTCGCTTTCTGTTGGAGCTGTGTATTTTCTGTGTCAGCACCAGCTCGAGCACCCTGTCCTGCGTAGTGTGAATGTTTGTTACACGGCACACATAAACAAACCCCATGCAAAAAGTTTTACCATAAAAATGAAGATATTTATTCAAGAAGTACAAATTTGATGGTACCAGCCATCTTTGAAAGCCATTACCATGAGGCAGAGAGGACACAAACCGAAGTCTCTTGCTCAGAGCATATGAAAGCAAGTGTCTTACAAATTGCCAGCTAATGCAGTTGTTTCAATCATCGCTCAAAAGCCACCTCCACTTTTTAAACATTCCCTGGACTTAAGAGAGGCACAAATAGGGTTTTTTAATACAAGACCAGTTAGTTATTTTAATAAAGCCATCAGCTAAAATTTATTTTGTTTTAAATTTCCTTAAATTGTCTCCAGCCTTTGACTGGATTCAAATTTCCTAAAGAAAAAAAGGGACTCGGGAATGAGCAGGTTCAGAATTTTTGGAGCTCAAGATGAACCGAAAGTTTTAAGGCAGGAGTCAGGATTTTAACTTCTCTATTTGCCCCATGGCTCTGATCAAATGGTTTTCATCTGTAAAATATACAAATACAGAGTTCTACAGGATAAATACCCAACAAGTGGTCCTGCTTGGAGGGCAGGAACATACTTTTTCATGAAGAGTCCAGTGGACACATTTATTAAAAGTCTCGAAGTCCACGTTAAGAAGCCCACTGGTTAAAAAATCTCATCTTCCAACTGTTTGACTTGTAGGCTCAGTGGCATGTACCTGCCTTGGAAGGAGAGCTGCAGCTCCATCTCCTATGAACAAGAGCAACACACACGTGGCTACGGAGTATCTAAGCGGATGAAATATGGAAGAGCCGTTTGCAGAACAGAGCAGTCAAAAACACTTTATGAAAAGGAAAGTCGTAAAGCAGGCAGACTTGTATATGCAGTCCTTAACCAGCAGAAGTGTTTGTAGCTGCAGATATAATAACAGGACACTCATCTTCTTTGGGAGAAGACAGAAACGCAGTTGCTGGAAACTTTAGCTCCAAGACTTCCTAGATCAGTTAACCTTCAAGGCAGACCACCAACATCTAGTAGGTTTGAAGGAGATTTTTTTCTTTTTCCAAGAAAGTTGCAGAGCATATGAAGCTCATCCCCCCCAGCCTAAGCAAGTTTTCAAAACCACCTTTCTCAAATACCTCTACATGCTATTTCAGGAGAGCACAAGCTGTCCCAGAGCTGCCAGCCATCATCCTGGAGGGAGTCAGAATTATGGAGGAAGTGGTGAAGGGCAAAGGAAGAAAAAGTCTCTTTTTCTAACAGAGACTACTTTCATTTCAACGTAACAGGATCTGAAGAGCACAGTGAAAAAAAAGTAATTTTTTTTCAAATGTAAACATTCTCTGCATAAGGTGCAGGGTCTTGGATGTATGTACAGTGACATAAAAATGAGTTTTAAAATACAGATCAAGAGTCAGAAATGTAGCTACCACTTATGCTTCTGAAGAAGACAGAAATGGAGAAACATACAGCATTCAATTCGTCAACATCTACACAGTGGAAATGCTTTCAAAACTCCATGGCTTAAAGCATTCCACCATTGTAACAAAGATATTTTTTTAAAATATTTTTTAAAAGATTTTACATTATTTACTAGCAATGGATATATATGCAGAAGCATGTCATACAACAGCAATATTCTATCAGTTGCTCATCTGCTTTGCCAAAGGTTATGCACACTGCCACGTGTTGCCTTGTTGCTCCAACAAACCTCTTTTCCTCTCCTCCCCAAAAACCACTCAGGAACTTTTTGCAAAAGGCAAACAGAAGCTGGGTTTTGTTTGGTTGCTCCCAGGGTGAGGTTTTTTTTGTTGTACTAACTCCTTTTAGTAATCAGATGTCTATTAAGAAACCCAACCTATTATATGCTGCTGACTTGCATCATTCAGTTTTCCAAACTATTTCCCAGACTCAGAGAATCAAAGGCTTTCAGAAAACTTTTAAAAAGTTCTCACAGTGCGGCTATTCCAGGCTGTGCTCACTGCAGAGGAGGCCAATGAACTGCGATGCACAAAGAACCAAGGAAATCAATGAAACTTTGGGGAGCAGGATGCTCTCAAGGAACAGCTGTCACTTGGTTGTGGAAGATGACCCTGAGCATCCTTCTAAATCACACCCAGAAACGTCCCTGCAGCACCTGCA